AATACCGGCTGCTTTGCACACCCCTAATATATATATATATATATATATATATATAAAAATATTTATTGAAAAAACCTTACATTTACATTCTATAGTTTACAAAACTGTTTGTGATCTTTATATAGGTAAAAGCCCAACAAAAAAACAACTGCAATGTTCAGAATATTACTCAAATTAATTCAAATGTTTAAGTTTGCAGGTCATCCCGGTTTTTGATCCTAGCTTGGCATAGTTATATTGATATGAAATGCAGAATGTGAGTTAAAGTTTAAGATGGAATGGTCATAAAATAATATTTCAGGGTTCCTACACATACTTTATAAAAATATGTAATTTGATTTGAGTAATTTCCAGGTCTGGAAAAGTATGGAAAAATATTTGTTTCCCCTATTCAGTTTTCTGAAATATAAAATGAAGAATTCTAAAAAGCGAGTCTCTTAACTTCACTTAACGTAAAAGATCATTTAATTCAAAATGTACATTCCTGTTTGATGACCGTGCAAGATCAAACCACGATTACAGTATCAGAGTGATCCGTCACAGGTGAATATATGCAGGTTATAAAGTGTTAGTCTTTTTTTCCCCTCTTCGTGTATGCGCATGTCATCACTGAGAAAACCAATGAAAAAAAATTTAGAAAATATTTACAGATGATGATTGTTCTATATACCAAATATAATGCTGTATCATTAATGATAAACATGGTCTGAACAATCTGCAGAGAGATTTGGACATTTGGGTCTGGAAAAGTATGGAGTTTTGAAATGGAAAATTTGTAGGAATCCTGATAGTTGCTTTGAAAAGTGTCAGCATAGTTGCACTTACATTGATTAATTTTGTCTTTTATTTCCCATGGGCAGTACTTTAGCCCCTATGTGTCAGCAGATATGAACAAAATGGCTGTGGCCTTTAATACCACAGTGGCAGATCTGGAGGATGAACTGACCCAGCTGATCCTGGAGGGCCTGATCAATGCTCGTATCGACTCCCACAGCAAGGCAGGGCTGCGTTCTCTCATTTGTCACCCTGATACTTACTCTTCTGGAACAACGTTCCCTTTGCCTTTTGCTAATCTAAAATACTTCAGATTTTTTTTTTTTTTTTATCAATACCTTTTTGCATTGAGTGATATATATTTACTGTCAACATTTCTCTCACTTTGTCATTGAGCTTGATCTTGAATGAAACATGCTATGTTACCTATTTTTTGTATCTTAAGGACCGTTATAGAAACAGCCTTTGGTCATTAAAATGCAATAAACTTTGACACATGAGTTGCACCTGTGAATTAAATGTTGTCTCCCTGTTTGTAGATCTTGTATGCCAGGGACGTGGATCAGAGAAGCACAACTTTTGAGAAGTCTCTACAGATGGGCAAAGAGTTCCAGAGACGAGCGAAAGCCATGATCCTGCGGGCAGCTGTGCTTCGTAATCAGATACACGTCAAGGTAACAGGGTCCCCAGGGTAATGTGTCCTCGCTCTGTTATGCTCTTCACCTCACCATCCCCTGACCATCTCCTTCCCCGTCCCTTCAGCATGAGTGTCTCAGAGCACTTACGCTCCTCTGTATTTCTAAGGCAGTAAGTGATCTGCATGAGCTTTGTTGTGGTAAGCGAATGTTAAAGGAATATTCCAGGTTCAATTCAACAGTGCTTTTGTCCCTCCTTTTCTTTAAACAAATAACAAATCTGGGTTACAACTTACCGAAATAAATGGGCCCAGTCCATATCAGCGTTAAAATACTTACTGTTTCAAAAGTATGACCACAAGAAGTAGACAGTATGCAATGCATTAAGATGATTTTTAACTTCTCTTTGTGAAATGACACTTCTTTTCAGAAGTTTGGGGTCAGTAAAGAAATAAGTTTTAAAGAATGTAATACTTTTATTCAGCAAGGACACATCACATTATTAAAAAGTTAGAGTTAAGGCATTAAATAATGTTAAATAAACAACTTTCTATTCATCAAAGATTCCTGAAAAAATGTATCACTGTTTTCACAAAAATATTAAGCAGGACAACGGTTTTAAACATTGATAATAATTAGAAATGTTTCTTGCGCAATACATAATCATATTAGAATGATTTCTGAATGATCATGTGACATTGAAGAGTGGAGTAATGATGCTGAAAATTCAGCTTTGATATTACAGAAATAAATTACATTTTAAAATATATTCAAATAGAAAACTATGGAAGCTTGTTTCCGCCACTGAATAAAAAAATTATAATAATAATTGCAACTTTTTATCTCACAATTGCGAGATATGAAGTCAGAATTGTGAGAAATAAAGTCGCAATTGCGAGATATAAAGTCGCAATTCTGAGAAATAGTCGCAATTGCGAGATATAGTCGCAATTATGAGAAATAAAGTCGCAACTGCGAGAAAAAAGACAGAATTGAGACTATCTCGCAATTCTGACTTTATAACACATAATTGCGGGTTTATATCTCGAAATTCTGACATCTTTTCTCAGAATTGTGAGATCGCAATTGCGAGTTATCAGGCCAATTTTAAGGGAGAAAAAGACTGACTTTTTCCCCTCAGAATAGTTTATATCTCACAATTATGACTTTACAACACGCAATTTTGACTTTATATCATGCATTTCTGACTTTATAACACGCAATTGCGACTTTATATCAATCAATTCTGACTTTATCTCGCAATTCTGACTTTACAACACGCAATTGCGACTTTATTTCACGCAATTCTGACTTTACAAAACGCAATTGCGACTTTATATCAATCAATTCTGACTTTATAACACACAATTGCAACTTTATATCATGCAATTCTGGCTTTATATCTCGCAATTGTGAGAAATAAAGTCAGAATTGCGAGATGTAAACTCGCAATTGTGAGAATAAAAGTCAGAATTGTATATACACACAACCATTCAAAAGTTTGGGGTCAGTTCGATTTTTATTTATTTTTTTCTCACCAAGGGATTTATTTGATAGAAAATAGAGTAAAAACAGTAATATTGTGAAATATTATTGCAATTTAAAATAACTGTTTTCTATGGAAGCTTGTTTCCGCCACAGAATGAATTAAATTTTTCAGGTCTATGCTCAGTGAATAAATGGATTATAAATACAGCGTAAATATAATTTAGTACCATAAAATCTCCTAAAAATACAAAATATAAAATAAAAATATTATCGAATTAAAATGTAGTACATTAATTTCATTGAAATAAAAAAAGAATCTGTCATTTGACCGACGCGTGAAGAGCACCAGAGGGTTAAACCCTAAAACAAATGTCAAAATTGAAGAGAACAACTTTACTGCAAACAGTGCAAGTTTTAACTGAAAAAAAATAAGCTTTACATTTCCACTGTTAACCATGACCTCAAATTTCACCTCATTTTTTAAAAGTCTTTTTACTTTTTAATCTTCACAAATGCTGTCAATTGAGCTTTAACTTGTATTGAACCTGGAATATTCCTTTAAAGCAGTCCACTAGCCTGTCATTGCTCTATTACCCGTCTAGCAGTCAACTGTTCAACTAGATGCAAGTTCCTTTAAGTTCCAATGACAAGAATAACTGAGCTCTCTTCAGCTTTCTTAAGGTTCTGTTCCCAGAAAAGAAGCTAAAAGAATCGGAGACACATAAACATTCAGATGTTTCAGTTACACCCCTAGTCTTCATCCCTCTCGGTCACCCTGTCATTCTTCATGAACATCAGCATGCGTTTCCTTCTCAGTCTGTTTTTCTCGCTCTACATGATGCTTCACACTGATTCCTCTGATTCCTTTCACAGTCCCCTCCAAGAGAAGGCAGTCAAGGGGAGCTCACACCTGCCAACAGCCAAACACGAATGAGCACCAACATGTGAAGACTCGACCAGATGCCTCTCCAAGGAAAGTAAAGTACACGGGGCCACTGCCGCATCTTAGGCCCCTGTTTAGAAATCAATTATTTCCCTGCTGAAGAGAGAAAAATCACAATCTAAAGACTTTATTTAAGTTGGGAAGAAGATATCTGTTGTCTGTATTAAAGACAAGCACACCCTGTTGCTCAAATGAAAAGGAAAAATAGATAAAAAGAGAAATGCGGCACTTAAGCTGTACTGGCCTGTTGTTCTTTGTAAAGGATGCACTTTCCTCTGTATCTTGTGACAAACCTTGATTACACATTGAGAAACCTCATCACAAAACATGCTTTTAAAATAAACATACATTCAAAAAGATGATTCAACCTGGAAAGGCTCTTTCTCCATCCGTTTCTGATGAGATTTAGGTGGTGGTGTTGCAGATAAAAATGCAGTTACACTGACTTTAACACTCTTTATAGCGATTTCAGCCTCATCTCTGTTTAATAACATTTAGTTATTTCTCTGTTGTATTGTGTTCTGATTGTTACTCCAGTGAATCATCCAGCTGGTCAGTGACGTAAAACAAAGGTAGACTTTACTTGCTTTTATGGCCTTGAATAAACTACACAGAAACGTTTAGAAACCGTGCAGTTTTTTGGTCATAATTAGAGCAAAATTCCCAAACCATTACTGTAAGTATAAGAAACTGATGAGCAAAAAAAAAAAGAATCCACAGAAAAACAACAGCTCTGTACAAACATATACATTTATGGACAGTATAGGAGGATTCATTCAAAGATGTCCTTGAGTAACTGACCCACATTCTTTAGGATAAGGCACTGAGTTGAGTTTTGATGCTTTAAAGTACTGTGTGGAAAAATAAGCATTATGTTTGGCTATAATTATAATAAAGAAAGTCATTGTTGAACCAGTTGTATTAGAACTGCATACTTCCTTGAAATGCTAACAGAAAAAAAGATAAAAGGCAACACAATGATGGCAAATAGGGTAAGGCATCTAAATCAGATAATTTGTAGTGTAACTGTCCTCACCTCTAAAATCAATGTCAATGTGTGATCATACATGATCACGGCAGCACAGGAAAGTAGTAAAAGTTAATTTATATACATGCTCCAAAAAAACATTTAAAAAAACAAAATATTAAAAGTTGTTTCATTGTTGTTGTAACATACAAATCTGCTGAATCTTTCATTTCGGAAGACAATAAGTAAAATAAAAATGCACATTTCAGATTATGTCTGCGTGAAGATGTCCATCAGTGTATTTCCACAGAATGTCCCGCAATAAAAGGCCAGATCTTCTTTCTTGGCCGAGCAGGATTGTGCGTTCAGAGTGGCTGCTTCATATACCATGTTCCTATCATTATCAAACACATAAGTGTTTATAAGTGATTATCAAAACACTATTCTAATAAGCAGTCTCAAAATATTAAGAATATGGATCTATTCACCCAGCAGCAGTCCAGAAAGTGGTGCATCATTGAAGAGAATGATTAGCACAAGTAACAGCAGCGCTGTCTGTTTCTTTGCAATGTTCAAAAATGATCCAAATTACATATAGAGAAATGAGAACCACGTTTGGCCACAACTGCAGTCTTGAGCTTCCAATTCAGTGCAGCAGCTTCCCAATGGTAAGTGGTCAACGAGTTTTCAGATATCCAGGACATAAGCCTCCTTTAGGTCAGGGCACAGCCTACAATGGATCATGGACAGCAGTGGAATCTGTCTGACTGTTGAGTTTCCCATTTGTCAGCCCACCACCTGTATTGGAGTTACACTGTCTCAAAGCCTTGGTTTTGAATCTCAATCCATGGCCTGAAACCCAACAATGGACACAGAGGAAATACTTAGTCTTGTAGAAGTGGAAGGATATTACTAGATACATACAGATACAAGCTGGGTAAGCAGACTTGTACAAACCATAACAATAGTGTTTTAATTTTAAACATTTATAGTTAATGTAACTTTCTCACAAAACGAATTTTAAACAGTAGACTCATTATTTTCACTATTATATATTTTGGCAAATTAAAACCAAATACCCCATTCTCAACAGTATTAAATGATTTAAAAAAAACAGCTTAATTTCATAGTGTGCAATGTGCAACTTGATCAGTAGTCTCTTTGTGGTTGATATACTAACCAGGACAATCAGCCACTTCCTTGAAAGCCTTCCTCTTGCAGCAGCCACGGCACAAGTTGAAGACACATTTATTCCCCTGTTGAAGGAGTAAAATAAAATATATATTCACCTTGTGTAAATTTGAAGATTTTTAAAAAGCACATGAAATGGTTCTGTAAACACTTTGAAAATGAGTACATTAACCTAAAACAACAGTTAAAAATATAATCAAAAGTCTTACTTTAGGGTTGCCACATTGCTCACACTTAATGTATTTTGCTGCAGAACACAAGGAAGCAAAGGCATGTTATTTTACCTTAATCAATAAAAAAATGCCGTTCAAAAGTTTGGAGTCAGTGATGTTTTTATTTTAGAAAAAAATTGATTCAGCAAAGATGCATTAAATTCATCAAACGTGACAGTGAAGACATTGATAGACTAAATGCTGTTCTTTTTAACTTTCGATTCATCAAAAAATCCTGAAAAAAAAAGTATCGTCTATGTATCAATCGGAAATGTTTCTTGAGCAGCAAATCATCATATGATTTCTGAATGATCGTGACAGTGAAGACTGGAGTAATGCTGAAAGTTCAGCTTTGACATGACAATATTACTGTTTTTCTGTAAATTTAATCGAACAAATACAGCCTTGGTGAGCATAAAAGACTTCAGTTAGTTACGATAATGTGCACTGTGCCATCAGTGAGGTCTACAGGCTTTAGAAAACACTGGGAAAAGATTTGGTCTTACGTTTCATCTCTGGACAGAAGTTCTTGTAGGGGTTACGGGCTTTCTTCTTCTGCTTGTTCTTGGAGAGCGAGTCGTTGGTTCCGTCACTGTCCTCCAGTGCCCTCTTCACACACACAGCTTTCATTTCCAGTGCTTTCTGCCCGTTTTCAGTGTTTGGATCCTTGGGCCTGCAAAATATACCATCCTCACATACAAGTTCCAGGGTATACACCGCTATATTCAAACTAGTTTATGTCCATAATGGATGGACAGAAATGAAGCTCCTTAAACCTTGGGTCATTCAGTGATAGTTATGATTAATATTATACTGCTTTGCTGAGAACACAGAAATACTATGATTGTGATGGTGTCACACAAGATCAGAAAACACATCCTCACGGTGGTCTGACGTAAGGTTGACAGATCCAGTGAGGGAAGGGAAGTCCAGTCTGATTCCATTCTGATTCATCTTTAGCCATCTCCTCCTTAAGAGTAAAAAGCCAGAGAATTAAACTCTTAAAATCTATCATAAGCCTAATGTTTATTCTTGAAATAAAGTTTGTAATCAGCAATTCCTTTCAATCCCAAAGTTTGCAATCAGCAGTTCCTTTACCTGGCAACGTTGTTTCAGCTGTCTGTTGATCTCCACAATACCAGGTACGTTCTTGGCTTTGGCTAACTCCTCCCTGAGGTCTTGATGTATCTGTAGGCTGTTGTAAACAAATACACACTTACCATTTAAGAAGTGACCACCAGTTTGGGGTCAGCTAGATTTTTTAAATGTTTTTGAAAGAACTCTTATGTTCACCAAGGCTGCATTTATTTGAACAAAAATGTAGTAAAAAAAAAGTGATATCGTGAAATCCAAGCACTAATGGCTCATGTGGATGATTAGCCAATAAGTTGAAATGTATCTTACGTGGTTTTTAGAGTAAAGTCCATCTTGAATCTTTGATCATATGTATGAGTGGACTCACATTCAACATTTAAAGGTGCAATGTGTAAAAATTTTGAGTATCTATTAACAGAAATGCAATATGACATCCATAACTATGTTTTCAGTGGTGTATAAAGAACTTACTTAATAAACCGTAATGTTTTTAATACCTTAGAATGAGACATTTATATCTACATAACCACGGGCACCCCCTTCTATGAAGGTCGACATATTGTGACGTCATGTTTCTACCGTAGCCGACAGCGAACAAACAGCGTTACAGAACGCGTTTCGTCTCTACCTTGAAAGAGAAGCAGCAGAAAGCTAGAAGCCATAAACACCGTGAGTAGTGACTTTTCCCTTGTCAGTGGTGTAAAATATGTAGTTGGATTGTTTCATGTAACTTAGTTCTTCTCCCTCGCTGTGTTATGGCTTTGCTATGTGGGGATAAATGTGCTGGTTACGTTCGTGAGACAGCTGATTAGTACTCTTGTCATTGACCGTAAAACAGTAACGTTACAGGAGTCACCAACCCGTCGATCTTGGAAGCATTTTAAGTCGATCGCGAAGAGTTTTCAAAATCAGAGAAAAAAAGCCTATTGTGTGTAGTAAATGGTGTCTAGGGGATGCGGAGGCGCGCGCGCTGTTACAATCATGTCATTTTTGTGGACGCGTCGAGTTTAAACAAGGCTTTACGCTTTAACCAGCTCAGCCACAGTAACAGCTCATATTTAGCCAGCTAAACTTTTACTACCCTGTTAGAAAAAAATATATAGTTGCATAGTTTCATGTGGTTCTTCTCCCTCGCTGTATGGGTGTGCTATGTGGGGAGAAATGGGCTGGTTGCGTTTGTGAGACAATCAGCTGATATTACTATTATTATATTATATATTAAGACCCTTGATCCTCACCTGACTATGGCTTTGTAAACTTTATCCATGATGTGGTTTATAATGGACTGTGGTACAGAAACAGTGACAATGTTACACACTCTTGGCTTACTCTGGCTATTCTCTGCTGTCTCAGACGACGATATGTTTGTCCCGTTTTAGCCACCGTAGCTTCTTCGAAAGGGAGGGGTGAGCAGTGGGCTGAGCCATTAGTGCAACTGGCAACTGAACCGCTAGATGTCGCTAAAAAATACACACTGCACCTTTAAATTCAGATGAATCGCATGCCATAGGATGTCACAGGACAATCAGAAGTAAATGTGAAGATATCATTTGCAGCTCAAACCCTTATTTATCTTAAGGCCCTTTTCATTTTCATTTTGCTTGGACTCCTAATAACTCATTTGTTTCTGTGAAGCTGAATTTTCAGTATCATTACTTCAGTCACATGATCCTTCAGAAATCACTTGAATATGATGATTTTCTGCGCAAGAAACATTTCTGATTATTATCAATGTTGAAAACAGTTGTGCTGCTTAATATTTTTCTGAAACTTACTTTTTTTCCAAGATATTTGATGAATAAAAAGTTCAAAAGAACAGCATTTTTTAGAAATAGAAAACGTTTGTAACTTTACAAATGTTTTTAAGGTCACTCTTGATCATTTTAATGCCTCCCTGCTTAAAGTATTATTTTTTCAAAAGAAATATCGTACTGACCCCCAACATTTGAATGGTGGCTCTCTCCATTCTAAGAGATGAAACTCTCAAGCAACAGCACAATATTGGGGTCAAATGTGAAGGAACATACGTGTGGTGCCATAGTTTGAAGATGTGGGCACGGACGTAAGACAGACTGCATGGTGGGTGTTTCTCCACAACATCCAGGTACTCCTCAGCCATCTCCCACACAGGTGGACTTTGGCCTTCAAACAGGGCAGGATTGTGGAGATTCCCTTCTGTGAATGTAATGTGTTCATTTTTATATTACTGCTGCATATGAAAGATCAAAGTATCAGTCTTTCTGTACAAGTATGTTTATGAATCTTCTCTTTGCATGAGGAGAACGTTACCTGCACTCATGACACCTTGTACTCCAGTCTCCTCCATGCAGCGCTGAACATCACTCAGATGCTGGATGTTTCCGTTGGCGAAAACAGGAATGTTTACAGCCTCTCTTCACAAGTACAAAAAAAGTTAATCACCAGGACAAAACACTAATAGTCAGCACCAGCAGCAAGGGTTGTATCTCTTACCGTCAGTGTTGGGTAAGTTACTTTAAAAAAGTAATTAGTTATAGTTACTAGTTACTTCTCACAAAAATACATCATTACAAAAGTAACTAATTACCAGCGAAAGTAACTATTGTGTTACTTTTTTTTTATGTTTAAATATGTGCAATAACTTGGATACCCCCAATATTAAATATGTTAAATTAATGAAATGGACACTAAATAGAACACATTATTAAAAAAAATTGTAGACTAATCTTCACTATTTTAATGTTGCTGTGGGACAATGTGAGAGACACCTATTAACTTAAATATTAAAATATTATCATTACTATAGTGGAACAACTAAACACAATTTGGTTTAGAACTTTCAAGATTTATTGCACAGACCCCAACTGGCCAACAAATAAGGCTAAAAATAAATGATGCTTCTTAAAGGTGCCATATGTAACTTTTCTTCTAAAATTAATCCTTTTTGTATTGCCTGTGTGTGAAGGGGTTGTAATCACACATTACAATGATCCACTTGTCGGGTTTTGCTATTACCTCTGAAGGCCAGTATTCCTATTTCTATGTGAAGTCTCCGGGTCGGATTTTCTGCGAAATCCATCGGATGTGACGTGCATGCGCGCTCCCGAGCCTCTCTCCTTTTTATATACAGTCTATGCGACGGCACTGCAGCTAAACGACATGGAGTCTGATAACACCCAAAAACGACCTGACTCCAGCACAACACACACTCCAACACAAACTCCACATAAATATACAAAACAAAAAAAAAGTTGTATCTGCTGAAGCTCGTCAGGCCAAACGTGAATCGGATCGACTTAGGACGAAAACACGGATCTACATCGGCAGAGTGTTTGAATTATGGAGAGACCTCCGCTATTTTTATTTTGATAAATTACAAGTTTTCAGATATGCTGAAATAATGGTTAACTGTAATGAAATAGCAAGGTAAACTACAACATACATGAGACATGAAATGAATACAAAAGACTGTTCCAGGTAAGGGTGCTCCGATTGATCGGTCACCGATCATAATCGGCCGATAATTGCTTTGGGATGTGTGATCGGCGGTCTCAATAAAGGCCGATCCAGAAAAGCCGATCAAATGACGCAAAACTCGCGAGACAATTTTTTTACGCCCTGGTAAAAATGGCTTCACCGGTCTGGCAATTCTACAACAGGGCTCTCAAGTGCCAAGCATTGAGCGTGACAGTCACTCATTTCGGTCTTTTGTCACGCTCTCCCGCCACACATTGTATTTCTCAGGTTGAAAAACTATTTGTAATATATTTAATATGCCGCAGCGGCCGCGCCGCTCTCACTGTGGAACCGGCATGAATCAAGTGCGTTTCCTCTGGTGTTGTTCGTCGAGCTACACAATAGCCAATCAGAAAATGGCACTATTGTATCTGGGTAAGAATTTAACACAACCAATGACAAAAATGTATCCAACCCCCCCCCCCCCCCCCCGATAGATAGATTGAAGCGCACGTCCGAGTGAAGACTGCGCGAGGCACAGAGCACTGTATCCATGCAACTGATCGCCGCGGCAACGAGCGAGCAGCTTGAGTTCAAAAACACATTTTAGCGCTAGATTTCTTATTTAATAGCGAACTAAATGAATGATCTGCTAGTTAACTGAAGATGTTTTATTTATTTATATTAGGTACATGGTGGGACAGACTTCACTGGATCTAAAAAAAAAAAATCAATCTAACCATAGATGTGACCAGTAGTGGTGGCTTTTTTAATCTGTTTAAAATAATTTTGCAAGGGTTCTACACACACACACACACACACAAAAAAGGTTTCTCCACCTCTCTCTTCCTCTCTAGATGCCCACAAAATCTGACTAAGCATCCCAGAAAAAAGCAAAGTTATAGATACAGATATGGAAGTTGTTAGTTTTTTTTTTTTTTTTTTTGCTGTGCACTTTAAGTGTATTAGAAAAACTGATGGCTGACTGACTCAAAACATTATTTTGGCTATAGCCTTTTTTGTTGCTGTTTTTAGTTTAAAGTAGTCTAAAGCTAAATTTAAAGACTCAGATGTTCTGTCTTTTATTAATTTTATTTTATATTCTATTCTACAGGAAAGTTGTATGTCAAGCCCTAAGCTGCTCCCAATAACCAAGCTGCTATGTTAATACATGTTGCTTGCAAATAAAATACACAGGTGTCAATTCATTATGCATTGTCTTCTCTTAAATGTAATACTTAATGTACATTGTTGTTAAATATAGTTTAATAAGTAATACTACATGATAAAAAGAAGTCTTCAAATAGACCCTGTAATCGGTGATCGGTATCGGGTGATACAGCTTCCAGTAATCGGCGATCGGCCCCAAAAATCCTGATCGGAGCACCCCTAGTTCCAGGATAACAAAAAGTAGGTGCTTTAGGATGTAACTTTTATTTTATGTACTAGATCTACTGTCTAACATCATTCATTCCACTACTATCATATTGTTTATAATATAATACACATTTCCTGACACGTTCAGTACAGTAATGTTACTTCCTACGATCTTACTGTTACACTGAAAATGTTCCGTCTAGTTCACTAACCGTTTTCGTTATCATATTATACATTCATCTATGTTGACATTGCTGATTGTGAAAGATACACGAATAGTTAGTGAAATGCCTTATGCTAGATAACACCACAAGTTGGCTAAATGCAGTCAATGTAACGTTATCATGGTACGAGCATGGAGCATTAGTTCAATGTCAAGCTGATAAAAGTAGCCTATTATTGTATCGTTACAGTGGGAGTTTACATGAGTTTTCAGCATGTTGTGTGATGCTTTCTCGTGTTGAAAGTCTCAGTGTGGCCGGTACCATGAGTGCTCGCTCTTGTGTTCGAGCACGCGTAAGAGCGCTCTTGTAAAAATTGGTTGCAATCTGAAACATCACCGATAGAGGCCGCTAAAAAAATACATATAGCACCTTTAAGAAATGTACCAAAAAGAAATAAATGGTAATAAAAAAAATATACATACACATACAGTCTTTGTAGTGCAAATTAAAATTATAAAACTCACACACCTTTACAACTGGTAGACATACTGTATAGCCTACTTGAAGTATTTTTTTCCTCACAAAAGTAAACAGTTTAACAAAAAGTACTCTCAATATAATACTGAACAATGTACCAACATACATAATAATAATAAAATATAATATTTTTGGGTTTTATTTCTATAACCTAAAGAGGACGTCATCATCAGATGTTATTTTAGCCACATTCTAGTCGTGTTTGCCGCATGTGCTCACAACTGGTCAAACAAATTCGTTTTCTGGGAACGTTCCCTACAGGTTGTTTTGGTTATAACAGGTTAGTTTTATTTTATAACCATGCAAACTAATTAAAATGTTGCAGATGATAGCCTACCAATAGGCTACCGAAATGTGTAATTTATTTAAAAACAAACTATATTATGCTCGGACACACTCTGTCTCTCTCGCGCACTGTTGAGGCGCGCTCTCGGACACACTCGGTCTCTCTCACACTCGGTCTCCCTCGCGCAATCTCGGACACTCGGTCTCTCTCGTGCACTGTCGAGCGCGCTCTCGGACACACTCGGTCTCTCTCACACACTGTTGAGCGCGCTCTCGGACACACTCGGTCTCTCTCGCGCACTGTCGAGCGCGCTCTCGGACACACTCGGTCTCTCTCGCGCACTGTTGAGGCGCGCTCTCGGACACACTCGGTCTCTCTCACACTCGGTCTCTCTCGCGCACTGTTGAGCGCGCTCTCGGACACACTCGGTCTCTCACACACTCGGTCTCTCTTGCGCACTGTTGAGGCGCGCTCTCGGACACACTCGGTCTCTCTCACACTCGGTCTCTCTCGCGCACTGTTGAGGCGCGCTCTCGGACACACTCGGTCTCTCTCGCGCACTGTTGAGCGCGCTCTCGGACACACTCGGTCTCTCTCGCGCACTGTTGAGCGCGCTCTCGGACACACTCGGTCTCTCTCGCGCACTGTTGAGCGCGCTCTCGGACACACTCGGTCTCTCTCGCGCACTGTTGACCGCGCTCTCGGACACACTCGGTCTCTCTCGCGCACTGTTGAGCGCGCTCTCGGACACACTCGGTCTCTCTCACACTCGGTCTCTCTCGTGCACTGTTGAGGCGCGCTCTCGGACACACTCGGTCTCTCTCACACTCGGTCTCTCTCGCGCACTGTTGAGCACGCTCTCGGACACACTCGGTCTCTCTCACACTCGGTCTCTCTTGCGCACTGTTGAGGCGTGCTCTCGGACACACTCGGTCTCTCTCGTGCACTGTTGAGGCGCGCTCTCGGACACACTCGGTCTCTCTCACACTCGGTCTCTCTCGCGCACTGTTGAGCACGCTCTCGGACACACTCGGTCTCTCTCACACTCGGTCTCTCTTGCGCACTGTTGAGGCGTGCTCTCGGACACACTCGGTCTCTCTCGCGCACTATTGAGCGCGCTCTCGGACACACTCGGTCTCTCTCACACTCGGTCTCTCTCGCGCACTGTTGAGCACGCTCTCGGACACACTCGGTCTCTCTCACACTCGGTCTCTCTCGCGCACTGTTGAGCGCGCTCTCGGACACACTCGGTCTCTCTCACACTCGGTCTCTCTCACACTCGGTCTCTCTCGTGCACTGTTGAGGCGCGCTCTCGGACACACTCGGTCTCTCTCACACTCGGTCTCTCTCGCGCACTGTTGAGCACGCTCTCGGACACACTCGGTCTCTCTCACACTCGGTCTCTCTCGTGCACTGTTGAGGCGCGCTCTCGGACACACTCGGTCTCTCTCACACTCGGTCTCTCTCGCGCACTGTTGAGCACGCTCTCGGACACACTCGGTCTCTCTCACACTCGGTCTCTCTTGCGCACTGTTGAGGCGTGCTCTCGGACACACTCGGTCTCTCTCGTGCACTGTTGAGGCGCGCTCTCGGACACACTCGGTCTCTCTCACACTCGGTCTCTCTCACACTCGGTCTCTCTTGCGCACTGTTGAGGCGTGCTCTCGGACACACTCGGTCTCTCTCGCGCACTATTGAGCGCGCTCTCGGACACACTCGGTCTCTCTCACACTCGGTCTCTCTCGCGCACTGTTGAGCACGCTCTCGGACACACTCGGTCTCTCTCACACTCGGTCTCTCTCGCGCACTGTTGAGCGCGCTCTCGGACACACTCGGTCTCTCTCACACTCGGTCTCTCTCGCGCACTGTTGAGGCGCGCTCTCGGACACACTCGGTCTCTCTCGCGCACTGTTGAGCGCGCTCTCGGACACACTCGGTCTCTCTCGCGCACTGTTGAGCGCGCTCTCGGACACACTCGGTCTCTCTCGCGCACTGTTGAGCGCGCTCTCGGACACACTCGGTCTCTCTCGCGCACTGTTGACCGCGCTCTCGGACACACTCGGTCTCTCTCGCGCACTGTTGAGCGCGCTCTCGGACACACTCGGTCTCTCTCACACTCGGTCTCTCTCGTGCACTGTTGAGGCGCGCTCTCGGACACACTCGGTCTCTCTCACACTCGGTCTCTCTCGCGCACTGTTGAGCACGCTCTCGGACACACTCGGTCTCTCTCACACTCGGTCTCTCTTGCGCACTGTTGAGGCGTGCTCTCGGACACACTCGGTCTCTCTCGTGCACTGTTGAGGCGCGCTCTCGGACACACTCGGTCTCTCTCACACTCGGTCTCTCTCGCGCACTGTTGAGCACGCTCTCGGACACACTCGGTCTCTCTCACACTCGGTCTCTCTTGCGCACTGTTGAGGCGTGCTCTCGGACACACTCGGTCTCTCTCGCGCACTATTGAGCGCGCTCTCGGACACACTCGGTCTCTCTCACACTCGGTCTCTCTCGCGCACTGTTGAGCACGCTCTCGGACACACTCGGTCTCTCTCACACTCGGTCTCTCTCGCGCACTGTTGAGCGCGCTCTCGGACACACTCGGTCTCTCTCACACTCGGTCTCTCTCACACTCGGTCTCTCTCGTGCACTGTTGAGGCGCGCTCTCGGACACACTCGGTCTCTCTCACACTCGGTCTCTCTCGCGCACTGTTGAGCACGCTCTCGGACACACTCGGTCTCTCTCACACTCGGTCTCTCTTGCGCACTGTTGAGGCGTGCTCTCGGACACACTCGGTCTCTCTCGTGCACTGTTGAGGCGCGCTCTCGGACACACTCGGTCTCTCTCACACTCGGTCTCTCTCACACTCGGTCTCTCTTGCGCACTGTTGAGGCGTGCTCTCGGACACACTCGGTCTCTCTCGCGCACTATTGAGCGCGCTCTCGGACACACTCGGTCTCTCTCACACTCGGTCTCTCTCGCGCACTGTTGAGCACGCTCTCGGACACACTCGGTCTCTCTCACACTCGGTCTCTCTCGCGCACTGTTGAGCGCGCTCTCGGACACACTCGGTCTCTCTCACACTCGGTCTCTCTCGCGCACTGTTGAGGCGCGCTCTCGGACACACTCGGTCTCTCTCGCGCACTGTTGAGCGCGCTCTCGGACACACTCGGTCTCTCTCGCGCACTGTTGAGCGCGCTCTCGGACACACTCGGTCTCTCTCGCGCACTGTTGAGCGCGCTCTCGGACACACTCGGTCTCTCTCGCGCACTGTTGAGCGCGCTCTCGGACACACTCGGTCTCTCTCGCGCACTGTTGAGCGCGCTCTCGGACACACTCGGTCTCTCTCGCACACTGTTGAGCGCGCTCTCGGACACTCGGTCTCTCTCGCGCACTGTCGAGCGGCGCTCTCGGACACACTCAGTCTCTCTCGCGCATTGTCGAGCGTGCTCTCGGACACACTCGGTCTCTCTCGCGCACTGTTGAGGCGCGCTCTCGGACACACTCGGTCTCTCTCACACTCGGTCTCTCTCGCGCACTATTGAGCGCGCTCTCGGACACACTCGGTCTCTCTCGCGCACTGTCGAGCGCGCTCTCGGACACACTCGGTCTCTCTCGCACACTGTTGAGCGCGCTCTCGGACACTCGGTCTCTCTCGCGCACTGTCGAGCGGCGCTCTCGGACACACTCAGTCTCTCTCGCGCATTGTCGAGCGTGCTCTCGGACACACTCGGTCTCTCTCGCGCACTGTTGAGGCGCGCTCTCGGACACACTCGGTCTCTCTCACACTCGGTCTCTCTCGCGCACTATTGAGCGCGCTCTCGGACACACTCGGTCTCTCTCGCGCACTGTCGAGCGCGCTCTCGGACACACTCGGTCTCTCTCACACTCGGTCTCTCTCGCGCACTGTTGAGGTGCGCTCTCGGACACGCTCGGTCTCTCTCACACTCGGTCTTTCTCGCGCACTATTGAGCGCGCTCTCGGACACACTCTGTCTCTCTCGCACTCGGTCTCTCTCGCGCACTGTTGAGCGCGCTCTCGGACACACTCGGTCTCTCTCACACTCGGTCTCTCTCGCGCACTATTGAGCGCGCTCTCGGACACACTCGGTCTCTCTCACACTCGGTCTCTCTCACGCACTGTTGAGCGCGCTCTCGGACAAACACGAGGTCTCTCTCGCGCACTGTTGAGCGCGCTCTCGGACACACTCGGTCTCTCTCACACTCGGTCTCTCTCGCGCACTATTGAGCGCGCTCTCGGACACACTCGGTCTCTCTCGCGCACTGTCGAGCGCGCTCTCGGACACACTCGGTCTCTCTCACACTCGGTCTCTCTCGCGCACTGTTGAGGCGCGCTCTCGGACACGCTCGGTCTCTCTCACACTCGGTCTTTCTCGCGCACTATTGAGCGCGCTCTCGGACACACTCTGTCTCTCTCGCACTCGGTCTCTCTCGCGCACTGTTGAGCGCGCTCTCGGACACACTCGGTCTCTCTCACACTCGGTCTCTCTCGCGCACTATTGAGCGCGCTCTCGGACACACTCGGTCTCTCTCACACTCGGTCTCTCTCACGCACTGTTGAGCGCGCTCTCGGACACACTCGGTCTCTCTCGCACACTGTTGAGCACGCTCGCGGCGTTCGCTCCGCTTTTGTCCAGTCAGGCACCTCATAAACACACAAACACCAGAGAAAAAACGTTGCAGGTCCTATGGCGGAGAGAGAGCCTACTCGGATGAAAACCTCTTCAGTGAGCTCAATTATAGTAACGGCACATTTTATTGTCAGTAACGGTAACGCCGTTGTAACGGAGGAAACAGTAATTAGTTTGATTACGTTACTTGTTACTGAAAAAAATAACGCCGTTAGTAACGCCGTTTATTTATAACGTCGTTATTCCCATCACTGCTTACCGTATAGCTTTGATATGCTTCCAGCTTGCAATGCCGGTCAAAGCCCCTTTTTGATCTTTGGTTCTCCCATGAACTGTGAGGAGCTGTCAAAAAACAGATAACAAACCATTAGTTGGTTCAAGAATATATTAATCACATTACATTGAGGTTTTTGGTAACTAAGTGGTTACATCTGGTAACACAAATGTTGACTGATCAATTCCAGGTTAAACAGACCCAAAGAAGAGATCCCCATCCGCCAGTGGGCTCCTGACAAGGGCACATAATCCCAGTTTTCTCCATATGCACTAACCCTTCTAGACGTCACTTTAGATAAGAGCATCTTCTATATGGAACACTTTACCTGGCATCCAGCCTTTTCCAGCATTTTTGCATACTTCACTGTTTTCTCGATCTCTGGGAAGACCCGGATTTTGCAAGTAATGGGCACGGAGAGTTTTTCATCAGCCAATTTAACTGTAAACAACAGCACCTGAATAAGATACATATTCTCTGCATGATTCACATCTGCACTGAGCTTTTAAAATGAGACCACTTACTCATTTTCTCAAGAAGGTCCCACTCATCTTGAAGAAACACACCATAATGGCCTAGGAGAGATTCAAAAACATTAAATGATTCCATAGGGACAAATTTTGAAATTGAAACACTACCATTCAAAGGTTTGGGATAGTTAAAATGTTTTAATGGTTTTGAAAGACGTCTTTTAAAGGGTTATTTAATCCAAAAATGAAAATTATCATATATTTTACTCACCCTCAAGCAATCCTAGGTGTATTTGACTTCCTTCTTTCAGCCAAACACAATCGGAGTTATATTAAAAATATTTTTTAATATGCGTCGGGTCAGAGGTCACTCTTCCGCCAGAACTAAATTCACGTACGATCGTTACCGGAAGCCAGTGATTATAGTTTATAATGTTATAAATATGGATATTTTTCTTACAAAAATGCATCACTTTGCTTTAGAGGGAATAAACTTCACATTTTTACCTGAGAATATGTACCAACAAATATTTAAAACAAATATTCTAAAGTTAAAGATACAACTGCTTATAAGAATTATTTTGTTCCCTTGGCTACAAAACTTTTTAACTCTACTTTAGTGTGAAGGACATGACTGTGTTATTGTTATTGATGTGTTTATCTTGTTTTACAGCTTCATATGTATTGCCCAAAACTAATTTACCTTAGGGGACAAATATTAAAGTATCAGCAGCAGCAGCAATACAGCATAAGCAGTAATATTATGAAATTTAAATATAGTTACAATTAAAAAAAAGTTTTTTATTTGAATATATTTTAAACTGTAATTTATTCATGTGATGTCAAAGCTGAATTTTCAGCATCATTACTCCAGTCTTCAGTGTCACATGATCCTTCAGAAATCATTATAATATGATGATTTGATGCCCAAGAAACATTTATTATTATTATTAAACAGTTGCTGCTTAATATTTTTATGAAAACTGTGATGCATTTTTTCAGGATTCTTTGATGAATCTAAAGCTTTATTTAACATAGAAATCTTTTGCAACATATAAATGTCTTTACTGTCACATTTGATCAATTTAATGCGTTCTTGCTTTAAAAAAAAAAAAAAAAAAAACACTTGAACGGTAGTGCTTATCTTGCATACAACAGAAATGAATTGTTACCTCTTTTGGCAATCATCTGGGGGCAACCCAGATTGAGATCAATAGCATCACAGTAATCCTGGGCAAGTAAAGCTGCCTGGATAAACACCTCAGGATCATTGGCACAGAACTGTATGGAGACACCAACACAAAAATACTCAGGTGAATAACTCGCACAATCCTCTCTGTAACCTCATGGAGGATGATGGAGTGGGGGTTCAATCTTCAGCTGGCTGGCAGGAGCCGCCACTGGCATGTCGCGTGACCTGTCAGTGGCTGGCTGGCAGCTGCCAGTCTGATCACGGCCATTTGACTGGTTTAATTTGGGATAACCGTCCCCAAAACATCAATCATACTGAAGAATAGATGCTTGAGATTATATTCGTAATAACAAAGCAATTTATTTCCTTACAGCGAGAGTGTCAGGCGACGCGTTATACTCGCAGTTCAGCCGCGAGTTACTGGATTGAGCGTCCAGCAAAGTGTCAGTAAGCTGCCAGTCTAATCACGGCCATTTGACTGCTTCAATTGGGATAAAATTCTCTAAAACGCCAATCATGCAAAAGAACATAATCATATCAACAGACGCATAATAAATGAGCTAGAGAAGGAGGAACACAAAACACAAAAACTGCCAAAAATCAATGGTTTCTGAAACTTGCCAAAGGGAGACTGCCAGACAACTAGCCAGCCACTGACAGGTTACGTGACATGCCAGAATCAGACTGGCAGTGCACGTGACATGCCAGTGGCGTCTCCTGCCAGCCAGCTGAAGATTGAACCCCTACTGGGGTGATGTGTTCTTGTGTTTACTGACGCCAAACAGCCACCTGTGTGATGAGGGGTCGGTCCTCCAGGCTGACTTCGTTGTAAAGGTTCTCGCGGCGGTAGTTGGCGTCTCTGAGGAACACCTGAGCGTGTAGCATGGGCGTGTAGCAGAGCTCTGCGCCATGTCTGCGGCTCAGCAGCCTCCACGCCAGCTCGCTCTGGTCCACCATAGGCGCGACCACGTAGCGCGCGCCCTTCAGAGTGCTCCTCCAGAACTCGAACCCGCGGGGTTTCGCCATGCTGCCTACATAGGATGAAGTCACATTGACTACACGATTCAATCATAAGATTATAGACATTGATATTATTCACTTGCATGTTTTGATTAGCATAACAATTAGCTTTACTATACGACCTAAAAGGAACATTAATTAGCACAATAGTAATAGTAGTCTATATGGATCTGTCAAGGCATTCTTTACTACACATTTTGAAATGTGTTTCAGCAAGAGACTGTGACCACGGAATGATTTGTGCTGTACATCTTAAGAAATAAACTGTAATAATTCATATGAAAGGCAAAAACATTGACAGAGCGTATATGTTAACTACGAGCTGTCATTGTTTTAAAACAAACTGATGAGAGCAGAATACTTACAGTAGCTTATGATCCAGCTACAGACAGCAGCTCTGTAATGCGGCACATGAACTGCTGCGTGTGTCGCGGTGATATACATCCGTGAGGAAACAATATATCTATTGACTTATTCCGTGTTTATTATGAAAACAGATTACTTATCTTGCTGGGATAACTTTTTTTGTGGTTTGTAAAAATAAATAAAAAATAAATCCTTGAAAAGTAAAAATGTGTCATGTTATCGATCTTTCTAGACACATTTGTTTTGTATATAATCGTCTTCGTATACGGTTTATTCATAATTTGCGCCATGTTAATGGAGACGGATTCAGTGAGGCAAATATAGAATATAGAATATAGATCTGGAATATAGAAGCTTAAAATCTGTTTCCCACCCCATCCCATTTTTTTCATTTTACTAGTATTTACAGAAGATAACACATTTACGTCCGTGCCATAACTGATCACTAGATGTCACTGCGAACCAAACAATATTACTGGGATATTACTGTATTTTTTTGTGTCCAGTGTGTTTTTCTTTGTAAGTTTAACTCTGGGTCTTAATTGTGTTTGGTTGAGTATTTTATTGTGTTTATATATATATATATATATATATATATATATATATATATATATATATATACATACATAGTACCATTAATTCACCATTAGTTATTTAAAAAATGTATACAGGTGTTTTCATGATTTAAGAAGATTAAATCTGACTGCTTCAGTCACAATTTTTAGGTTTATTTGTGAGATACACATGAAGTAATTGCAGCTCTTAGATGCAGGCCTACACATTAATTAACCAATAGCAAAATAAGACTGACAGTTAATATAAAATACATGAGATATTATTAAAAGGCAAAATTATTCCTTTCATTCAACTTAAAATCTGTATTTATATCATAATTTGGTCTTAAGGCCTGGCCAGTTGTACTGTAATCAATCTATTTGTACTGAGTTGAATACATCATATATTAAGAAGCACTTTGACATGTGTTGCTTTCATGGTTGTCCATTAATATCGAATGTCTGTTATCGTGACACTTCTCTTTATTAATAATAGAATCAACAATCAGGCAATTGTTTCATCATGTTTAGGACCTTTGTGTTGACACACCACTGGTGAAAATACCAGTTAAGCTGTAAAAGAACATACACAATTTATTTGTCAACTCTGTCACAATTGTGAAAGTTTTTAATTTTTTTGTATGCCACTGTTTAGATCTTATAGACTTGGTTTCACAGACAGTGCTTAGATTAGGCCTTAGTTTTAAAAAAAACATTACTGCTGTGCATCTTGAGGCAAAACAATGGCACTTACATATAAGATATGCCAGTGCAAGTTGCTTTCAGTTAAATCAGCTCAAACATGCATTTTAGTCTGGGACTAATTTAAACCTTGTCTGTGAAACCGGGGGATAAAGTGTTGTTTATCACTGCATTAATACAGTGTGTGTTGGATCTAGTTCTCTTTTAGAAATCTGGTATGGCTGTTAGAGTGGGCGTTCACAGACTTTCCTGGCGCATTGCTCTCAACGTGACTGAACACCATAGACAGTAAAAGGCTGAACACATGCAACGGAAAGCTGAGTAATTAAGTCATGTGACTCTCCTCCATTCAGCCTCAAGCGTTGGCTGTACTCTGACCAATCATGGTCCACTGAATACAACACCAGCTTCTGTGGGCGTTATCATGTTTCAGAAGGAGGGCTCAAACTACTGAAAAAAGTTGTTTTTCAAGACTAAGTGCCAAGAAGACATAATTGTATGTTTTTTATTTGTTGTTTTGAAAAAGTATTATTCTTTTACCTAACACATTTGGGCAGCTTGTCACAATGTACAGCATCTCTAAACATGACTTTATGAAATATGAATTACATAAAGTTTGAACTAAATTAAATATAACCTGCAATTTAAATAAATGTAATTGCATGTAATTGTTTTTTTTTATCAGCAGGCATAGGGTTCATGTTGATATTAGTAAATCATCTGCTTCATGTGATTGTACAGATGCTACGGTAAAAGCATCACGTAAAGTCAATATATTCAGGATACGAAATCATAATGTTAACGAGTATGGTCTTGCTTGTTTCTTTGCAACTTTCATGACAAGTTTGCACATCAATGCTTTGCTTGTGTATTTCAAATCATGTGAAATTTCTATGATATTTGTGACAATTAGAAACGATTTGGTTTTAATAATGCAGTTAATGATTTTCAGAGCTGCTGCTGCAGGAAACAAGTCTACTGTAACAAACAGTTTCTCTTCAAGGAAATTAACAACTTTAAACCCAATCAATATTCAACAGGAACTACTGTGAGCCTATTATCTCTTATCGTCATCTGAAGACCTTTCATGACATGAAGGAAAATAAGATGTCAGTTATGTGTTTAGCATCAGTTTCAACTTTGCAAACTGGTTTTGCAAGGTAACTTCCTGAAACATCAAGATGAACACACACAGTAAACAGCCACAGATGTAAACAGACATTTACCATATTTAACAAGACTTAAAATAAAATACTACGGAGAAACTATTTTATAAATGTAATTCAGGAATGACAAATAAATTGACTAAAATATATGTATTTTAAACACATTTATTTACTCATTTATGCTGTGCATCGTCTAATAAAACGGTTTTACCCATAGACATACACCAACTTAAAATAAACATCGAATATATAACTGACGCTATGGTTATGTTTCGAAATGTTAACAAATTTAACAACAATTTTGGTTTGGTTTTCTAAACCCGAGCTTTTCCAGTGGCCCGTTGTTGTTACGGGAAATGACGTCACTGCAACCCGCTGGATTATTCAACTGATGGAGCTTCTGTTGTAGAAGATACACAGACGGAGAGAGAGTCGATGGTAGATCCGGGGCCAGCAGAACAGGAAGGGAGTCGTTCTCAAAAATCCGACTTCATCCTTTTTTAAACAAACTATTTTCAGGGTGAAAATTACTAGAGCATAAAGTTCACACTTTACTCTTTTTAATAAGCCTAATATTTCGATAGTCACCGATTCGGAATGTTAGAAAACGACTGGTGAAAATTGGGTAGCTTACTGTGAAGGGAATTAGCAAGCTAGCTGGGGGAATCTGGCTGGAAGACACAGAAGAATAGACGGATAACAAAGAGCGGATTTTTGTTCCTTTTATCAAGCTCTCCGAACAGATATCATTTCAATAATTCCCGTTAAAGCTAGCTTCATCGCTAGCTTTGAAATTTAGCCATTTATCATGGAATTGAGAGTAGGAAACCGATACAGACTGGGAAGGAAAATTGGCTCTGGATCCTTTGGTGATATTTATTTGGGTAAGTAATTGTTTATTTCTTTTTTCATTTATCGATATAGTCGGTATTATTTGTCAGTGTATTCAAGGTAAATATCATATTTTGTTTTGAAACGTCAAATCGATTCCCAGTGTCCGTGTCCCCCCAATCAGCTGCTCTTGAAGGTCCTATTCAGTGTACGTTAGCTTGAAAACCCCCACTAACCATTGCTATTTTGATGGGTAGTCAGCTAGTTTAACAGGTCAGTTAACTGGAGATCAGTTTAAATACACACCAGGCCCGTATTTGTATGTAAATACATATTGTTATGAACATTACGTGACACCCATTAAGCTTTTCTTGAGCGAAAATACAGAATCAGGCAGTCAAAACTTGACAGTTATGCTCTATGGACTACATATTGTCAGATATAATATTGTCAATAACCTGCTGTGCTCGGTGTATACAACAAACTTTGAGCAGACTGTAAGTCTTAGATATGTTAACTTATATATAAATATATATGTATATTTGAGTTAATTTAGCTTTAGTGCTTTGCCATTTGTAATACACGGTTATGCATTTAGGTTGCTGACCTGTCAAGTGCATTTTTAATGTCATTATTTTTTATAATTTGTTTGGAAGGTGTGTGTTGGAACTTGGAGGAGTCTCGCGTTTAAAATGTGTTGTAAAATGTCCCAGCATATCCTGTCAAAGACAATCTGATGGCGAGTTTAGCCTGTGTTTTGTGTCTTAAACATCTAATATTATCAAGATTGATGTGTCCCTTGTAATGACTTTGCTACACTCTATAATATACAGTATATTTGTTATATCTCACTGGTTTGTCAGGAGTAACAATGCAATGACTGACAGAGAAGAGGAAGTGAAGTACTTTGTCACAAGTAAACGCTTGTATAGCATTTGTATTGCATGCTGTCTGTAGCTTGTGTGATCAGATCTTTGCAACTTCTGAGTTGTTTCTACATGTTGGTAAGAGGTCATTAATTATAAGACCCTTCATAAAAGGTCTGTTGTGCTCAACTAGCTGGCAAGTTCCCTTAGTGTGCAAGTTTCAACTTAACTCTTACTTTGTGTTGTGAAAGGCGCTGGTGATGTAATATTTACTTTCGTCATTGGTTTTGGGAGTATTGTTGTAGGCAGCTGCCTTTAATGTACATTTCTTGTAAGTTCTTATGTCACCACAATAAAGATATTGAAGGCTGCCAGTTATACGTGATTCTGGGCATAGCAGTCTGTTTGTGTTGTTCGGTTCCTTTTGAAGCATCCTGCCCAGGCCTTTATGGTTTGACTTGTGATGCAAAGTTTTATAAACTACTCATTGCAATATGGGATGCATATGGTTCCGTCCTTGTGGTTTGATGAGCTTTGTTCTCTTGCACAACTCCTTCGTTTTTGTTTTGCAGTTGGAGTTGTGTGCAATGATCTCATTTGCTGGACAGAGTTGTGTTTATGATATGCTCTCTGCAGTACTTTGGTGGAGGAATACTCCACGCCTCCACTCTGTACTTCTTTCCAGAAATGGCCTGAAAAACAACCGTTAGTTCCAAAGCAAGATCCCAAATCTGAATACATAAGCCGTCCAGTATGTTCTTGCGAAATTACCCAACACTTTTTTTTTTTTGTTCTTTTTTTTTTTTTTTTGCGGAAGTCCATTGAGGTTTGCAGAAAAAGTAGATCAGCTGATTGTTGTGTGGCTGTTGTTTACATACAGACTAGGCTCTTTGTTTCTGTTTGCGGCAGAATGGCAGGATCAGAGCGGTTGTGGACTCTAGAGTTATGTTACACATCTTGTACATGTCGGTTTGGCATTAATAGTCAACAGTACAATCCAAGTG